GTGTTCCGGCCTATTCCCCATGCTGCTCCGGGACACACAGCTTCACATGGTGTTCCAACTCGTTCCGTGGGCTCGCACTCCAGGTGCCGCAGCTCCCAGAGCCTGTTGGTATTCGCCCCCAGTGCTGTGGGGAGATGATGTGAGGGAAGAAGAAAAGAGAGAAAAGAAGAAAAGAAAGAAAAAGAACAGGCAGAGCAGAGGAACTCCAGCAGGAGTGTCCTACTCTGAAACCACCTTGGGTTCCATCTGCTGCCCACCAGCCAATCTGAGATATCTGCTCGCACACTCCTTCGTCACACTCCAGCCCCCAAGTGAAAAATAAACAATAAGGCTGATGTAGCATTTATCTGGGAATGTCTCCATCATGAGGAGTGTAAACTCTAGCACGGGCCTGTCAGGCTGAATGGCCTGAGCCTGTGCTGTAAATTCGTTGTGAGAGCTGTTCGCCAAAGGAAAATAAATCACGTCCCCACAGTTACCCCTTGGGCTGGGTTCTTTCACTCCAGTCTGTTGTTTTTTTCTAATCTTTAGTTATTCATTGAACAGAGAAAGTTTAAAAACTGGGTTCAAAAACTGGACAGGAGTTTTCCTCACTCAGAGATAGTAAGAACTGCCGATGCCGAAGTCAGAGATAACACAGCGTGGAGTTGGAGGAACACAGCAGGCCAGGCAGCATCAGAGGAGCAGGTAAGTTAACGTTTCAGGTTGGGACCCTTCATCAGAAATGGGTTCAGATGGGCTCAGATATGGCCCCATGTAGATGGAGCAGTTCATTAACATGTTGAATTCTGTCGCTTGCTCAGATGCGAGCAAGATAAAAAGCTTCACTATCCCATCTCCTTTCAGCAAGGACTGATCTAAATCTTCTCAGTAAATCACACGGAATTGTCATCGTTCTGGTTTTGGAACAAGGGTTGCCCTGTCGCCGTTACCCCTTTACTGTAAATAAAAGCAGCACACTGCCTACACAGTTATTGTAACAAGGTCAGCCAGGGTGGACCTCATAGAATAAGAGTTCCCCAGTTGGGGCTGTTAATCTGGTCCAATCAGGGAGCCCTGGCTGACAGATATAAACAGGAGGGTCAGGGGTTCTGCTCACTCTAGGAGCCAGCTCTGACGAGGCTGTGCCAGAGTCAAGGACTTTCCATGTGTAAATAAAAGGTGACAAAAGCAAAGTTGCTGGAAAAGCTCAGCAGGTCTGGCAGCATCTGTGGAGGAGAAAACAGAGTTAACGCTTTGGGTCCAGTGACCCTTCCTCAGAACTTACAGCATCCGCAGTTCTTTTGGTTTTTAAATAAAAGGTGACTTGGTGATGGGATGCTGGTGATGGGATATTGGCCCATGATGAGTTATTTTAGCAAAGCCGTGAATCTAAAATGAAAAGTGCTGGAGGATACTCAGCAGTGTCTTCCCTCCAGGTCCAACTATCCCCCAAAAAAAACCCCAGAATAAAGTGGAAATGTTAACCCCTTTCTCTCTGTCCACCGACACTCCGCAGGGCCAGAGTCTGTCCAGCACTTCCTGCTTTGATTCCTTTACAGTGTTGTGTGTTTTTATACAAATTGGATTTTCTTTGTGTTTGACAGAAGGACTGGCTGAGGAATCTGATACAAGGTTTAATGTACCCCCATCATAGAGAGCCGACGGGTTTACATTCACCGAACAACATCAAAGCAGGAGATGGACTCGACCTGAAGGTCATTTTAAAACATTTTTTTTAAATGAAAGTGAAACTGAAACAAAGGCCAGAGTGACTCAGCCAAACAACCAAGGGTTTAGGTCCGAAACGTCAGCCTTCCTGCTCCTCCGATGCTGCTTGGCCTGCTGTGTTCATCCAGCTCTGCACCTTGTTATCTCAGATTCTCCAGCATCTGCAGTTCCTACTATCCCTCAACCAAAAATGGGCCAGGTTTATGAACACCTTCCATCGTTCCTGTGGAAGGGGCTGCAGGTGGCAATGTCCAATTTTACTGTGTTGCATGTACAGAGGTAGAAAGGGTGATTGTGTTTGCATGTCTGTCTCTGTGTTATAACAAGAATAAGAATTGGGCTCATGAATACAGCATAGCGAATTGTGGTAAATAAGCGTTATTCATATTGGAAAATGGTATTCCCCAAGAGTCATTGCTGAGGCTGTTGTTTTTATGTAGAAATGACTTGGACTTTAGAATACATTGTAAAGCTAGCTGATGATATTGAATTTGGAAGTATGGCAGACATTAAAGATGATTCCAATCATGCCAACAGTACCAACAAGACATTGACAGGATGGCAGAAGGGGCAGACAAGTGGCATACGGTGTTTAACACAGAGAAATATGATGTGATACAGTTTGGCTGAAGAAATAGGGAGAGGCAATCAAGAATTAATGATGTAGGCCTATATATAGAAGGACAGAGAAACCCATGGGTTGTCTGTGTATAGATCTCGGAAGGTGACAGGAGATATTGAGAGAGTATTTAGAAAAGTAGATGGGATTTCAGGATCTGACATTTCATAAATTGAGGTATTGAGTACAAAAGCAGGGGAGTTCTGCCAACCCTTTATAAAGTTCTGGTTAGACTCCAGCTGGAATAGTGCACTCAGTCCTGATCTCTGCCTGTTAGAAATGAAATGAAACTCCATGAGAGGCTGCAGAGGGCGTTTACCACAATGCTTCAAGTGGGAGGGAATTTAGCAGCATAGTTCAGTTGGGGAAGTTGTTGTTGTTTTCCCTGGAGCAAAGGAGGTGGGGGGGGGGGGGGCGGTGGGGGTGCTGGTGGAATTTAATTGAGGTGTACAATATTTTTCCAAAAGACAAAAAGTCCTGTTCTTATTTGCCAAACAAGGACCAGAGGGAGATAGATTTAAGGTTCTGGACAAGAGAGACAGGGAGAATCTGAGGCAGAGCAGATGTATACAGTGAGTGTCAATGTCTGGAATTGAAATGTGCCAGGACGGAGGCAGCAAAGACTGACAATAATTTGGAAAGGAAATCGGAAAAGCTCTGGATGGAGGTCAGAGGGCAGAGCTGCTAAGACAGACACTTGGATATTACAGACATGTCATGGATGCCAGGGCAACAGCAATATCCCAGAAGCAGGGCTGAGCTCAAAGTGGAGTCAAAATTGTGGTGATGTCCTACCTGCACATTCAGGCAGTGAAAATCCCCATCACATGACAAATGTCACAGAGTGGGAGACTAGTGCTGGAAGGCCATGTGTGTCCAGGGGAATTGATCCCTCTGCCAACAGCCATCAGGGACACATGTACCAGTACAAAGAGTCACATATAGGCCAGACAAGGTAAGGATGGCAGTTCCCTTCCCTAAAGGACATCAGTGAGCCAGCTGGGGTTTTCCCCTGAAAGCAACAATGGATTCATGATCATCAGCAGACTCCTAATTCCAGATTTTTATTCAATTTATATTCAACCATCTGCCATGCCGGGATTTGAACCCAGGCCTCCAGAACCTTACCTGGGTCTCTGGATTAACAGTCCATGGATAATACCACTAGGCCATTGCCTCCCCATTAAATAGCAGGGTGTCCCTCTGATACCCTCTGCCAGTTTTGGAAACAATACCGACTGTACTACAATTAAATGAAGTTCGATGAAAGAGATTGCATTACATTCTACCACTACCTTCTCCTCAACAATAACACCTTGACTTGCACCAAAGAAAGGAGAATCCAACACATCCACAGCATGTTAGCTTCACCCACACAGAATAGGCTCTTACTGTCTTCACTAATCCTTTCGCAATCCTTTAACAAGTCTGCTTTACTATAGTCAGCAAAAAACAAAGAACAGCAGATGCTGCAGATTTGAAACAAAAGCATAAATTGTTGAAGAAACTCAGTAGGTCTGGCTGCGTGACTCTGTTTTTCTCTCTCTCCACAGACACTGCCATACCTGCTGAGTTTCTCCAGCACTCTCTGTTGTGGTTTCAGTACAGTGTTAGCAATCACTGGAAGTCAAGCTTACATCACATGTTCCTGTGAATAATTTCTGCTTTATGCGAAGGTAGATCTCAGAGCAGCCAAGAACTCATTGAATTTCCAAGCAGGCATGTGGGGCTGAATGGCCTCCCATATGTTCCCATAGTTTCATAGCAAGGTGAAGGGCAAATATTACTGAAACTCCCAGCAACAAAACTCTCGGTAGGTAGGCACTCCAAACGTTATGAACATTTCACTCTTTCCCATGCCAACGTCAACAAGTACAGAGATCACGGACACTGTAAATTTATCTCAGGTTTTACGGAATTCCTGTACCTTTACACTTTACCTTCTTGGGGGCAACTTCACAGGCGCAGTTTGCCTTATTAAGTCTTTCTTGTTAAAATTCCAAGCCTTTTCCCTTTTAACAACCATAAAAGGATACATGTCTCAATGTTTGCTCCAACAATATAGCCAGTGACATCAAAATTGATTCGGATGAACTTTCCCTGTTGAAAATTAGATAAAAAATGGTCAGGTCTTATCTGTGTACATTCGCTGTCCATTAAGTATTAAACAAAATGACGAACAGTGTCACTGTCACTGTTTGCTGTTTATTTGGGATGCTGTTCACCTGTTAACTCGGCTCTCATTCAGCCAAAACTCAACAGATATAGAATGCAAATATAGAAGGGCTGGAGGAGACGATGATAACAGGACTCTGCATTTGCTACAACTTTGCAAAGTTCAGAGCTGCACAGATGTAGATTTCACTTTAGTGAAAACTGACAGTGAATGCTCGAGAGAAATGCACATTCTAGCCTTGCTGGTCAGAACTTTCAATTCTGTGCAAGAGCCCAAATGATTATCTAGAGTTATAGCGATTCCATCATATCAGTTCCTCCTCATCTCAGCTCAGAGTGGGTGGGAGACAGTTTGATGGACTGTGTGGAGATTGTAAATGTTGGAGTGCTTCCATGAATGGATTAACTTGATTTTGTGTTTTCCTCTTTCCTGTTGTTGAAATTTTTGCTATGCGTTGGTGGTGCCCTTTGTACGATGAATGGGCTGAACGTTGTTTGTGGTGATATGACATTTTGAGAATGCAACCAGGGGATCAGTCTCCGGTGAAGTGTCTGTCTCCAAGCTGAACGAAATATTCACAAAGCTGTGGCAAATGAAGATTGCAGGAATAACAGAGATTATAAGCACATGGGATAAAATAACTGGGGAGTCCCAGTGTAACGTGTGTCACACACTTATGTTACCTTACATTTTATAAATGGTTGAAATTTCCAGGACATTTTCACTAACAGATTGGATTTTCCATCATGTGTTTTTGTTACATTTTGCGCCATTTTGCTGATTGCATTCCATGTGTAATGACTTTGAACTTTTCACACACACACACTGGGACAGGGTCATATACACACACACTGGGACAGGGTCATATACACACACACTGGGACAGGGTCATACACACACACTGGGATAGGGTCATATACACATACACAGTGGGACTGGGTCATGTACACACCCAGTGGGACAGGGTCATGTACACACACAGTGGGACTGGGTCATGTACACACACAGTGGGACTGGGTCACGTACACACACAGTGGGACTGG